GGGACCGTCTCCTGCTCTCCAACCCTGTCCTCGAGGTGAGAAACAGAAGGAAAGCCCAAAAATGCAGAAAGATTGGAGTTGGTGGCCTCACTGCTTGAGGATTCCCTGCAAAACTGCAGTGGGAATGTCACAACCTCTGTAAGAATATTTGGGATTTAATGTCATCTGAAGTTCGGGGTTCAATTTGAGGATGGCTGCAAAAAAAAAAAATGCAAGAAAATACAAGAAAATCACACCGTGCAGCAGCTCCTTGGGGCCTTGGTTATAGGTTAGATAAGAAAAAACAATAATTGGTCTAGTTGAATTCTGCTTTAAAGGTAGGGAATTTCATTAGTTTGTATTTCTTTAATCCCACTAAATTCTCTGGGATTTGGCTGAAGCAGGAAATCTTTGTTGATGGAGTTTGGTCCTGTCGTGGGTGTCAGGTGAGAAAGGACTTCCCCTCTCTGTTTGTCCCCAGGCTTTTGGGAATGCAAAAACCCTGCGCAACGACAACTCCAGCAGGTTTGGGAAGTACATGGACATCCAGTTTGATTTCAAGGTGAGCACAAACCCACTGGAGCGCTGGGAAAAGGAGCTGTATCCAAAAAACCTCCTGGACACAGAGCAGGCAGCCCAGGATTTATTAATTCCTTCTCTGCACCTTTCTGACCCTGTTTTTACAAAGCTTGCATTTTTTGAGTGAGGTCACTGGTTATCCATCCTGGAAGCTTCCAGCATTGCTGGCAATCCTGGCAGTGCTCCATGGAAAGCTGAGAGAGAGTTTTAAAGCTCAAGTTACTTTTAYAGTGCAGCAAATCCTTGTGCTGTTGCTGGACACTCTTAAACAAAAGGTGGCAGATAAATGACAGCGGAATTGGGCTTTTCCTGAGCCTGCTCTTGGTTCCTGAGAATAAATAAAYGGCAATCATGGGGATTATTGGTGTTTTTGGTGTTGATCTGCCTGCTTTSTTCTGCCAGGGAGCTCCGGTGGGAGGGCACATCCTCAGCTACCTGATTGAGAAATCCCGAGTTGTCCACCAAAACCACGGAGAGAGGAATTTCCATATTTTCTACCAGCTGCTGGAGGGTGGGGACAAGGATCTGCTCTGCTGGCTCGGGCTGGAGCGCAACCCCCAGAAGTACACGTACCTCATCCAGGTCGGTGGGAGCTGCTCCGTGGCTCCATCAGGAATTGTGGGGATTGGAAAAAAATATTCTCACCCTAAAAAATATTCTCACCCTAAATAAAAATATTATTTATAAGAATAAAAAATATTCTCACCCTAAAAATATTCTCACCCAAAGCTCAAGCTGTGCACTATTCAGCCAGTTTATGGTGACACTCTCCACGCTCAGGGCTTTGATTTATTCGGGGTTTCCAATATAAATGAAAATATTTGATCAAAGGAGCCACRTTCAGAATTAATAACAGTGAAAAAAACTCACTGAGAGAGCTGGGAATGAAAGCAGTCTGCCAAGAAGTATCTGTGCTTGCTGATAATAAAGTTCTTTATCAATTAATTGTATTAATTAATCTTTCTTTTACTGCCTAGGGTCGATGTGCCAAAGTGTTTTCTATCAATGACAAGAATGACTGGAAAGTAGTCCGGAAAGCTTTTTCCATCATTGACTTCACTGATAAAGATACCGAGGTACTGCTTGTTAAAAGGGGTTGAACAAAAGGATTTTAGAGAGGAGGRCACTGCTCTTTGCCTGAAGTGATGGAAGCAGGGAGAGGGATTAGGGGTGAAACAATTTGGGTGGTCAGCACCTGAGTGGCCAACAGGAAACATGGAAAGGGCCTGGAGTGACAGGATAAAGGGGGAATGGCTGCCCACTGCCAGAGAGTAGGTTTGGATTMGATATTGGGAAGAAATTGGGCACAGGGTGYCCAGAGAAGCTGTGGCTGCCCCATCCCTGGAAGTGTCCAAGGCCAGGTTGGACGAGGCTTGGAGCAACCTGGGATAATTGAAGGTGTCCCTGCCCATGGCAGAGGGTGGAACTGGATGATCTCCAAGTTCCTTTCCACCTCCTGCCATTCTGGAATTCCGTGACTCTGTGGGATTGAGGGAGTGGGTGGCGAAGAGCACGAAGCCAGGGGTGGTACTGGCATCTCTGACTCACCTCCTTCAGCCCAGCCAAAATTCTGTTAATTAACGATAGGAAAGATCAGCAGCACCCCAAAGGGCGGTGGGAGCCGTGTCCTAATGGAGTATCTCCCGTTATCAGCAACTCTTTGCCATCGTTGCCACCGTCCTGCACCTCGGGAACATTCAGTTTGAGGAGGACAGCAATGGCCACGCCATCATCCGCGACGGCACGCAGATCAAGTGGATTTCCAAGGTGCCTCTGCCYGGATCGGGTCAGAATTCCCAGTGCTGGGAGGAAAACCTTCACCTTGCACTGGTTTTTTTTGCAGGGACAAAGTGTTTATTCCAAAAACACATGTAAATACCCAGCTCTTGCTGTAAAACCATCCTGAATTTTGTCCCTGAAATTTTCTAATTTTCTGTTACTCCGAGACGGGGGTGACTGGAAAGGGGCTGGGGTTGTGCCCCACTGATCCCACAGTGCTGCTTATTTAAACAGGGACCTGTGGCTGTGCTCTGAGTGCAAACATTTCTCTCSCTGCAGCTCCTGGGTGCTCACCTGTCCATCCTGCAGGAAGCTCTCACCCACAGGAAGATTGAAGCCAGATCTGAGGAGGTACTGGGGGGTTCTGTGTGGTCCCAGATTAATCTGGGTAAACCCCCATCTGGGGGCAGGATGAGGAGCCTGTTCCGTGTAAACCAGATCCCTCTGGCTGTCCCTCTCCTCCTCCACATCCCCTCCTTCTAGCCTGAAATATTAAAATATATTCCCAATATTGAGGTTTTATTGCTGAAGAAGGAAGGAGCTGTTAAAAAGCTGGAACAGGGACTTGTATTTGAGCCAAATTATTTTCCCTTGTCCAGCCCAGCTGCTTCCTGGGCACAGAGAAAAACACAGTTAAAAACTGCTCTTTGATAGTTTTGTATTTTTATTTGAATTATATAAAGCTAAAATGAGGTCAGAATATTCCCCCCRCTTTGCCTAAATTAATACTCACCAAAATGTGGTGCCCCAAACCTGCTGGCAGGTGGTGATGCAGCAGACTGAACGTGCACTGATGGAACATAAAGCTATGGGGAGAATTAGGGAATCCCAGAGTAGTTTGGGTTGGAAAAGACCTTAAAKATCATCCCATTCCAACAGGAATAGCTGCAGCCCAGGGATGGCTGTGCTGTGCTGTAGGACAATATGGCTGCTTCTCTGAGATGTGTCCTGGCTGTGCAGAGGTTTGCTCTGATGTCTCATGGTGTTTATCCTCTCTGAAATATCTTTATTTCCAGGTGCTCAGCCCGCTGAATGTGGATTTGGCATTCTATGCCCGGGACGCCGTGGCAAAGGCGATTTACGGAAGGACTTTCACTTGGCTCGTCAACAAAATCAACAGTTCTCTTGCCAACAAGGTTGGTTTCTTGTCTGGAGCCCTCTGAGACACTGAAATCCTCCTAAAATGCTGAGCAATTTCCCCAGAAAGGCCCTACAACCCTCATCACCAAATACCTGGGTTATTTGATAATTGCTGCTGGGACATCCTGCAGCCCTGAGCTGGAAAACCCTTTAGTTACTCTCTGTTCAAGAGTTTTAGCAGTTCATTGCCTGCTTTGAAATGGCTTCTCCACTCATATTTCTCTCAAAGAGAAAGTTTGGAATTCAGGTGGAACGAGCCACCTGCAGGGAAGGAGCMATGGCAGAGCAGGGCTGTCTTTGACAGGATTCAACTCGGAAAACAGTTATTGGCCTGCTGGATATTTATGGCTTTGAAGTGCTGGACACAAACAGGTACGGGCTGTTCCTGGGATTTGGGGTTATGTGGGGGCATGGGAGGTCTTGCATGAATTTTTGGGTGTGCTCTCAGCCCTGCAGGACAAGGTAAGGGGACTAAAACTTGGGTGCAGGGGTTTGTTGAATCCTGGGAAAATCTTTAACTTGGGCTGTGAGGTGCAACTGTGAGAGCAAGGGGTGGGTTTGTTCTGTGTGGGAATGGGGGATTTGTCCATGTGGAAATGGGGATTTGGTCCATGTAGGAATGGGGGATTTATCCATGTGGGAATGGGGGTTCAGTCCATGTGAGAATAGGAGTTTGGTCCCTGTGGGAATGGGGGTTTTGTCCCTGTGGAAATGGGGGTTTGGTCCATGTGAGAATGGGAGTTTGATCCCTGTNTGTGAGAATAGGAGTTTGGTCCCTGTGGGAATGGGGGTTTTGTCCCTGTGGAAATGGGGGTTTGGTCCATGTGAGAATGGGAGTTTGATCCCTGTGGGAATGGGGGATTTATCCGTGTGGGAATGGGGGTTTAGTCCATGTGGAAATGGGGGTTTGGTCCATTTGGGAATGGGGGATTTATCCATGTGGGAATGGGGGTTTGGTCCATGTGGTAATGGGGGTTTGGTCCATGTGGGAATGGGGATTTGGTCCCTGTGGGAATGGGGGTTTAGCCAGTGGAGGAAGAAGGAAAACTGCCCCTGGAACACATCAAACCTGCTGTTCATTGAACCTCCCTGAAGCTTTGAGCAGTTCTGCATTAATTACTGCAACGAGAARCTGCAGCAGCTGCTGATTGAGATGACCCTGAAAGCAGAGCAGGAGGAATATGAACTGGAAGGGATTGAGGTAAATTGTATTTCCCYCTCCCTTTTTCCCTTTGAATGCTTTTTGATCATCAATGTGAAAGTCATCCTGCTTTTTTAGTTTGTTATCTTTCCCATGGGAGGTGTAGGATTTGCCAGGGTCTCTTTCTGTTACCCTTTTGAAGTGCAATTTAGCCCAATTTAGACTGAATTGACATGATTTAAAAAAGGAGTAGGGCCTTCCCCAAAAGGCMCAAAACTCAGATGCTCAGCAGTGACAACATCCCTGGGGAATGAGGGGCTCCAGCAGTGTGAAACATGGGAAGATGGAGAGGATTAATGCAGAGAACAAGAGGATGGTGTGGGCTGCTGGAAGCAGGAGAGCTTTGGAGTGGGATCGTGGATCGCTGTCACCTTTTCCCTCAGTCGATCCCATTTCAGTGGGATCAGAGGTTGAATCTGAGTAAAGCTCTAAACAACTTTCAAAAATTTCAAAGAAAAGGTCTTCATCTAAAACTGTCCTTCCTGTTTTCCCCTTCCAGTGGGAACCAATCCCRTACTTTAACAACAAAATCATCTGTGACTTGGTTGAGCAGAAGCACAAAGGAATAATCTCCATCCTGGTAAGAACAGAGTTTGTTCTCAATTAAAATGCAGGCCTGTGCCTTGCTCTAATGGTCCTTAATCACATTTTCCCCTCCTAATTATGGGATGGGTCTGTGTTATCCAGAACATAAACACAGATTCCTGTAACAAGGATGAGGCAAAGGATCTGATTGCTGTAGGGGGTTAAAGGTGGGGGATGTTCTGCTTCCCAACAATGGAGCTTTGGGTTTGTGGGACTAAAAGTTGTGCCAAATGTTGTTGAGGAGGGAATAGGAGCTCAGAGCAGCTCTGATCCAGTGCCTGCTGTTCCAGGATGAGGAATGCTTACGGCCTGGCGAAGCGACTGATTTGAGCTTCTTGGAAAAGCTGGAAGAGAAAGTAGGAGATCATGCCCACTTCGTGACGTATGCATTTACCCTCTGTATCCTACCCCAGACCCTTCCCATCCCAAATCCCTCTCAGGGCTGGGGAGGGAACAACCTGTGCCTTGTACCAGAGGGAATCAAGGCCCATCCAGGTGGAAAACTCCACTGGTGGATCSGGGGAACTGGGAGGTGTGAGCGGGATTTGGTCCCTTCACTGCTGCCATGCTGAGCTTTGAGTCTGCCATCCCACAGCAAAATTAGGGATTCATGGACTTTGGCCCAGGGTTTTAGCCCATGAAGGTTAAATGGTTTTGGCCACAGATGGTTTTGGCCCCCGTGGGCTCCAGGGAAAGCTGAAGATGACAAGGAGCCAAATGCCTGGGGCTGGGGCGGGGATATGTAAATATTTACACCCATCTCCCTCTGTGCRAGCTTGGAGTACCAAGAGGAGAGAAAACACTCCTGCTCCTGTCCCCCAGATGAGTGACATTTTGGTTCATACTCCATTTGGAGGGGGTTTGGATCCCGTTTTGGTGGCAGCTGAGCGCGTTGGCGCCGGGCTGTGCTGGCACTTCCCCRCAGAAGCTGCTGAAGGGCTGTGACAAGTCATCAATCGAGAGTCACAGTGCTGAGCTGTCGCTGTTCCTGCAGCTCTGAACTCCGCCACAGCCAAGTGGAAAATCTGTAGCCAACTTCCCTGTCACCACAATGTGCCTTAATGCTGTTCTGCCTGATTAAATGCTTTAAATAGAAGTGCTGGAGCTCCTTCCACGGGATCTGCTCTTGGAAGGAGCTCTGATACACGAACGTGCTGTTGTGACACTCAGCTCTGCTGTTTGCGACTGCTTACAAAGCTGAAACTTCAACTGTGAAGTTGCTCTTTTTTTTTTTCTTGTTTGGTTTTTTTTTTTCCCTCCCCAGGAATCCTTGCTTTCTAAAATATTCCTGCTATTCTCAAACATTTGGATTCCTCCTTTGTATTCAGGTTCTTGCTCCGGGGCAAAATATCTGAAATCCTTTCCTCCGGGTTCATTTTGGGGTTGAGGGAGCTGATGATTTTTTTTTTCCCCATATAAGCACTAAAAATGTGTTTAAATGGATGTTCTGGGAAGAAATATTAATATTTCTGGGATGGGTGTTCACTGCCAAATGGCAATGAATAGATTCCAGGTATCCTGAGGAGTTATGGGAGCTGTGATGGTTTGATTAGGGGCCCTAACCCTACAGTCAGAACCACATCAATAGGATCCAACACCCCATTCCCAGCTGCCCCCAAGCTGTGACTCTCCCCAAGCTGAGGGAATCTCTCTGCTGCTCTTCCTCCTGGTGTTTTGTTGGGTTTTCCCCTGGCAGGCGCAAGCTGGCGGATCAGAAGACGCGGAAATCCATCGATTATGTGGATTTTCGCCTGCTCCACTATGCAGGAGAGGTCACCTAYTGTGCCATGGGTGAGTGAGAAATGGCCAGGCTGGGCTTCCTGAGCTCCTGAGCTGCTGGGGGTGATGGTGGGAAGAGCAATTACAAAATACCTGCCCTCTTAAATGTGGCTGCAGTGAGAATTTTGAGGTTGTGAATGTCCCGCTTCCCTGTTTTAATTTAATTTTATTTATTCCAGGATTTCTGGAGAAGAATAACGATCTGCTGTACAGAAACCTGAAGGAGGTAAGAACAGAAAAGGGATGCTGTTCTCTTAGCAGATTTATTTTCTCTCTGCAGCAAGCAAAACCMTCCTTTTTTCTTCAGCACAGACCTTCAGGCACCTCTGTGCGTGTTCTCAGGGTTGTGATGCTCCCAGAAGGGCTGCTCAACAGGGCAACTTTGATCTCCTCCTGTTTCAGGTGCTGTGCAACTCCAAGAACTGCATCATCAGGGATTGTTTCCTCCTGTCAGAACTGGACAACAGGAGGAGACCGGAGACTGTGAGTTCTGAATTATCAGCTCAACCCCCCCAGGTGCTGGTTTAAGCATTGAGCCCTTCCTCAGTCCTAATGGCCATAAACTAAAATACAAAAATAAATGATAATAAACTAAAATTAAAATACGTGGGAAGAGATTTCCCTGGAGGGTGGCAGAGCCCTGGAATAGCAGCCCAGGGAGGGCCTGGAGTCATTCCCATCCACCTGAACACGTTCCTGTGTCACCTGCTCTGGGTGACCCTGCCTTGGCAGGGGTTGGGCTGGGGGATCTCCAGAGGGCCCTTCCCACCCTGGCTGTTGTGGGATTCCAGGATTCCTGCACTTGTGGATGTTTTTACAGCCATCCACCACTGAGAGCTCCCTGGCAGTGGCACAGTGGTGCTGCTGCGACAGCAGCCAGCAAATTGACATCCCATATACACATCCCCCAAGGAGCAGGGAGCTCTGAAGGGCTGCCTGGMGTGTCCAGCTCAGCCCTGTCACAGCTGACCACCCTCCAAAAACTCCAGGCTACCACTGCACCATCAGCTTTTGCTTCCAGGTTCAARCTGGATGCAGGGAGTGGGTTTCAATTCCTGCAGGGAGGAGCTCCAGAGCTCCTTTTGATGCTGTTTTAGGTTGCAACCCAGTTCAAAAACAGTCTGACGAGTCTGATCGAAATCCTCATGTCCAAGGAGCCCTCGTACATCCGCTGCATCAAACCCAATGAGAACAAGGAGCCTGGTAAGGCTGGGGCTGAGCACTCTGCTGAGTCCAAGGAATGGGTTTGAGGGGTTTGTTTGGAGTAGGTGCAGCAGGTTGTGTGTCTGTGTTTATATTTATATATAAATAATTTGGTGAAGCTGGCAGGAAATTCATCCCCGTGGGTAATCGGGGACGTGGTTCCTTCCCAATTTCCCCCAAAACACGAGGACCTGGGGGACCTTCCCCAGGCAGAACCGAGCAGTGAAGCTGTGCTCTTGCTGCAGGGAAGTTTGATGATTTCCTGATCCGACACCARGTGAAGTACCTGGGGCTGATGGAGCACCTGCGGGTCCGGCGGGCCGGCTTCGCSTACCGGCGCAAATACGAGCTCTTCCTGCAAAGGTGAGGGAGCTGCCTCCCCTCTGGCCAGGTAATCCTGCCCTCCTTGCTCCAGAGCAAGCAAAACTCCAATCCTAGTGATGGGATCTGTCACCAGACCCCTTTCTGCCCCAAAAACACCCTTTGCAYGTGTCTTGTCTGCGTCATTCTGATCTGCGTTGGTGTTTTCTGCCTTGAATAAAGCAGGAGGAATTTGAGGGGCAGCTTCAGGAAGGGTTTTCTCAAACTTCAGGTCATTTGTCCTGCTGATCTTTCAGGTACAAATCTCTCTGTCCAGCCACCTGGCCGCACTGGCACGGGTCAGCAGCAGAGGGTGTGAAGAGGCTCATCAAACACATTGGTTACAAGCCTGAGGAATACAAATTAGGAAGGTAAAATTGTAAATTCCTCACTCTGGCTGTGATGCTGCTCAGCGTTCACTCTGGTGGATCCTYTGTCCTGTCCAAGCAAAGAGAGAGATAAAACCCCCAGATGCACAAATTTCCCCATTATTTTTCCCTGTTTCTGTGRAAGCTTGAATCCAGCCTYGTTCCTTCCATCCCTGGGTGAGGSCTCCAACTTCTCCTGSTTCCCTGGGCAGCCCAAGGCAGCTGAGGCTTGTGTGGGGCACTGCAACTATTTGGGGGACCCTGAGCATTCTCARGGCAGCTGGAAGGGTGGCTCACCATGCCCCTGATCTCTTTTCCAGAACCAAAATATTCATCCGTTTCCCCAAGACCCTGTTTGCCACRGAAGATGCCTTTGAGTACAGAAAGCACCTGCTGCGTAAGGTTCCATCGCCTTGGTCTGGGACCCCAGTCCTGGCTCTGGGTTGGAAAGGGCTTGGAGCAACCTGGGATGGTGGAAAATGTCCTGGCCTTGGCAGGGGATGGGATGGGACGGGATGGGATGGGATGGGATGGGATGGGATGGGATGGGATGGGATGGGATGGGATGGGATGGGATTGGCTTTAAGGTCTCTCCCAACCCAAACCATTCYGTGRTTCTGCACCGTGGCAGGAGCTGAGACCCCTGTGAGTCTGCACAGCTCTCAGAATCCATGGAAAACTCAGTAAAGTTGTTCCAAGCTGAGGAGAAATCCCTGCTGGAGTCCTGGATATGTTGCTCCTTTAGAACTCCTTGGCCCCATGAGTGCCTGTCCATGCCCAGCTGCATTGAGGGTCTTGGGATTGGGATCTCTCCCATCTCATCCCTGCCCTGAAAAGCATCACTGAAGGGCAGATCCATGCTGGTCCCACTGGTGTCATGGCCCCTCTGTCCCTGTGCTGTGGGGTGCAGGAAYTCAGCTCCTCCACACCCCAATCCCACAGGCACCACTGATGACTCTGCCTTCTCTCCAGTTTCCAGACTCCAGGCCAAATATAAAGGATTCCTCGGGCAAAGGGCRTACCAGAAGAAGAGGAAAGCAGGTACTGGAATAGGGGATTCTCTTAGGGTTGGGATTTCCAMAGCAGCTGTAGCCTTGGGAGATCCCAAATCCATGGGCAGCACTCATTTCTTGGGGCTCTTGGGGTCACAGGAGGTGGCACCTGCACCAAGAGCATTCCCAGAGTATTTGTGGGGGTTCCTTTAGTTCTGTTTGGATCCTGATCCTGCAGGAGCAGCAGCTCCTTCTGTCACACACCAGGGGTCATTTTGGGGTACCTGGGGGTGGATCATCAGTGCTGAGGGAAAAACCCCCCTTATCACAGCAGMCTGAGATAAAGTGCAGGCTCAAAGCAGTTTTTTGGGCTGGAACAGCAGGAACCTGAGCAGGGACAAAGCCTGGCYGGGGAAAAAAACATCCCAAACTCCCTGTTCCCATCAGCTGCTTGTCAGGGCTGCACAATAACCAGTTTTAACTTCTGTGGGGTGGACTGGAAGTCTGAGACCCAGGATTGATTCCCTCTTGCAGCCATCAAGCTGGAGGCCTACTGGAGAGGAGCTCTGGCACGGAGAGCGGCCAAGAAGAGGACGTGGGCAGTGCAGACCATCAGGAAGTAACTGTCCCATCCGTATTTCCCAATCCCAGAATGATTTGGGTTGGAAAGGATCTTAAAACCCATCCAGTTCCATCCCCTGCCATGGGCAGGGACAATTTTCACTATCCCAGGTTGCTCCAAGCCCCATCCAGCCTGGCCTGGGACACTTCCAGGGATCCAGGGGCAGCCACAGCTTTTCTGGGCACCCTCACAGGGAAGGATTCCTTCCTAATTTTTCTCATGCCCTTCCCTTCCTTCTTCACTCCCCTAAAGCCAGCTCCTTTTGAACTCCAAAGCATCACAGTTTGGCCGACAGAACTTGGAAAAAACTGTTAATAATTAGAATATTATATTTTTAGAATATTTATTTCAAATATTTATTATTACGCTATGTTAATATTTAGAATTGAAGTTTTATTATTTAGAATATGTTAGTATTTAGAATTGAAGTTTTTGTTATTTAGAGTATGTTAATATTTAGAATTGAACTTTCATTATTTAGAATATGTTAATATTTAGAATTTAGGAAGTGGACCCCAGGTGTCCATGCACCCTGTGGTGTGTCACCCATCCCTCCCCTCATCTCCGTGGATTTCTAAAGCTCATAGAATGCTTTCTGCAGGTTCATAAATGGCTTCATCAATCGCAAGAACCCCCTTTGCCCGGAGAACAGGGACTTTGTGAGGCTTTCACAGTACTATTACCTGCTGAAGCTGCGAGATCACCTTCCAAAAAATGTCTTGGACAAGAGCTGGCTCCAGCCTCCCTCCATCCTGGAAGAGGTGAGGGTTTCTGGAGGTTTCTGGGGAAGTGGCCGTGTGTGTGCACATTCCAGGTGGGAGAAAATGATCTGCTGCTGGCTCAGSCTCTGTTCAGAGCCTTTGGAAAACCCAAAATCTGCTGTATTTGGKTGGGGGCAGGAGCAGTGACACCGTGGTTGGTGTTTCCAAGAGAAATGAGGAAGCTCTGTGCTGGTTTAAGTAATAAAAATTGAAAATACACTGGCAGAAAAGTGAACTCAGGAGCCCCAATAAAGGCAGAATTATTCCCACAGTGTTTTAGGCTCATGGCACAGACAGCCCTGTTTTTTTTTTCCCCTCATTTTTTTAATGCAGACATCAGAGTTGCTCCGGAATATCTGCGTGAGGAACCTGGTGAGGAAATACTGCCGAGGGATCCCTGCCGAGAGGAAAGTGCAGGTAACCAGCCCCTGGAATGCCATGTGGGGGTCTCTGTGTGATCTCTGCTCCCTGAGGATCCTCTGGAATGCAGGCAGCACTTTCTGATCCCACTGCTTCCATCAGTGCCTCGGGGATGAGAGCAAACATCATAGGAGAGCAAACTCCTGGAGTCAGGAATTCCCTCCAGTGTCCCTACAAGTCTCTTGCAGACGTATGGGGTTTGATTTATGGCATGAAAACTGCTCTCCATGGAATTGGGAAAGATCCCTAAACAAGAAAAAATCTGCAGGATTTCCCCTGCTGCCCCTTCATTCGGTGCAACACACAAAAACCCCARAGCTGTCGGGAGAAATGCAGCACAATTCCGAGATTCCATGAATCAGGTGGACAGCAGAAGGATGTTGTGGTGCAGCAGTGTTCACACTGTCCCTGCTGATGCTCCCAGAGGAGGAATTCCGAGGGTAAGGGCTGTTCCTTCTCCCACCAGCTGCAGCAGAAAGTGGTGACCAGCGCTGTTTTCTGCGGGAAGAAGGAGGGATACCAGGAGAGCCTCACCCAGCCCTTCCTGGACACCCGCCTGAGTGAGTCCAGCAAAGCCCTGRGGCCTCAGCTGCCTGCCCCTGGCTCAGGGAAGTCCTGCTTGACCAAGCAGACCCTTTTCCAAGAGAATTCCCTCCTGCCATGGAGTTCCTCCCTCTGTCACAKCGAGTGACACGAGTGTGGTGATGGATTTGTCACATCTCAAACTGGGAGGACTGGGACCCCTCTGGGGTGGAGAGCCACAAACCCAGAATTCCCCAGGGGCTGGGGTGGATCAGGGTCTGAACCAAGTGCAGACTCAAGAGCAGGCAGAAACTCCTGATGTGAATGTACCGTCAGGCAGGAAATGTCATCAAAATGGGTTTGGGAGCAGCTGGAGGTGACCACCCTCGGTTTGGAAGGGAACATTCTGAGGGGAAAGGACAGCTGGGATGAAGACAGCTAAAACAGCTCCCTGGTGTTTGTTTGAGGGTGTGAGGGTCTGCCTGGGGCTCTGTCACCCACACCCAATTTCTCTTTCTGGTTCGCCCCTCAGAAGAGAATGAGCTAAACCCCAAAGTGCTGCAGCTCATCCGTGGGGAGATCATCAAGGTAAGGGGAGCACAGAACTCTTGGAATTGCCTTCACTGGGGTTCTGGATCCATTTGCTCACACAGGGACTGATGAACAGCAGTGGAGCCGCTACTTCCTTGCTGTTAAATTGGAGACAGATCTCAAAATACCCCTAATTAAAAGTTATTTAAGATTCCTTGTAATGAAAACTAAAAGATCACTCCTAGCCCTGTCCAGGGCAGGAGCAGAGCTGGAATATCCATGCACCTCCCATGGGTATGGCATGGAGGGCACAGGGGTCCCATCATTCCCAGAATGGGATTTTGCCTCCTGAATTTCCCAGATTAGGGAACCCAGACCCCGTGAGCAGCAGCTGCTGGGGACCTGCAGCTCCACAGGCAGAGCTGCTCCTCACCAAGCTGCTTCCAAAACCCAAAATTCCCTGGAGCAGGAGCTTGCAGGGGTGGAAATGCTGATTCCAACTCWTTGTTTTCAGTACGTGACCCCCGTGATAAAATACGACAGGAACGGGTTCAAGGCGCGGGAGCGGCTCCTGGTGCTGACCCAGAGCTCGGTCAACATCGTGGAGATGGCCAAGATCAAGCAGAAAATCGACTATTCCATCGTGAAAGGTACCAAAAGGAGTCACTGCCCAAGGTTGGAAGGGKTTTGGAGCAGCCTGGACCAGTGGAAGGTGTCCCTGCYCATGGAATGGGATGATCCTGAAYKTTYCTTCCAWCCCAAACCATTCCATGAWCATTCTATGAGTTGTTGTGGGGATTCTGTCCTGTCAGGCACCCTTGGGAAGGGATGAAATTCTGAAATTTTGTCTTGCAAAGCTAATGGAATGATCTCTTCTTCTTTTCATGGGAGTTGGATAAAGCCTTGAAGGATGATTGTATGAGTAAGAGGACACTGTTCCTTGAAATGTTTAAATGCAGAAGGACATCACTTTCTACTGACACAGAGGGGAGAAAAAATAATCCAAAACTTTCCAATCCTGGTTTGTAGATTTTTTTTTTTAATCCTGGCACTGTTGGAACTACGGTTCAGGGGCAGAAGAAATCCTTTTCTCTCTTCTGTTACCAAAACCAAAGCAGCGTGGAAAGCTTTGGAGGAAACAGCTCAGGCAGGGCTTTMAATCAYCACTCTTGGAATTGTGCTGTGGATAATGGGGGATGTAAAGRGACCTTCAGAAGATATTTTGAAAACTCAGATTAATTCATCAAAGTAGGAGCTCTTTGTGTTTTRCCCTAAGAATGGGAATATTCTCCACTCTCAGGAAGGACAGAGCCTTCCTTGTGGGGCTGGAGTCACTGCCCCTGTGGGAAGGAGATGAGGGGGGTTACTTTTGGTAGATTTTCCTCTAATTCTGGGTTTMTTTTGAAGGGATCTCCACCAGTAACCTGAGCGATGGGATCGTGGTCATTCACGTTCCCGATGACAACAAGCAGAAGGTAGGAATTGATTGGGACGTAGCTCCTGTGTGCTGGAGGGTAAAAGTGAGGTCACAGGGCTGATGCTTCAAATACCATCCTCAAAACCTCTGGGATTACCCAATTCCTGATGTTTATTAAGTGTGTAATCAGCCATGCTGTCTCAACATGAAAATTTTCACTCGGAATCCCAACMTGTCCAGGAATTGTGGAGAGTGAGAAAGTTCCCCCTGAGCCTCCTTTTCTCCAGGCTGAGCCCCCTCAACCCCTCCTGGTGTGACTGATTCTCCCACCCTCCCCACCTCCATCCCCTTCRCCACTCCTGCCTTTTCTCAGAACCTAAAAAAAATGCTCCTGCTTTTTTTTTCAGAACCAACAAATCCCAAATAATCCCTGGAAATGTTGTGTAAATCGGTCACTTGTGCCCTGCAGTTGGTGCTCTGGCATTCCAAAGGAATTTCTCTGCACCATCACGTGCTGGGGTGAGGCCAGGTGACTTTTTTCCCTCTTTTTTTTTTTTGTTCCCAGGGAGATGTGATCCTGCAGTGTGAGCACGTCTTTGAGGTGGTGACCAAGCTCTGCATGCTGGCCAACAAGGAAAGCGTCGTTAAAGTGGTGAGGGGAAGGTGAGGAAGGYGGAAAGGAGGGTGGGAAGCACTGGGCAGGCTCTGTTTTATGGAAAAACCTTTTTAAGCCTGGACTAGGTCAAGACTGTTGCCATCACCCCAGCAGACAGTGCCCAAAGATGGACAGGTCTGTTTTTATGACTTCCAAAAGCACAGAGATGAGATGGGATCCACTGAAAGAAAATATATTAAAAATCATTCCAGCTTTTCCCCAGGCTTTTCCCAGGCTGCTTCCATGGTGCCTTGCACTTTGCCAGGGGTGAGAGCTGCCCATGCTCCACACCAGCATAAACCCAATTTATTTCTAGGTGATTGTATTTTAAACCCATTTTTTCCCCCAGTTTTCTGACATGACCTCTCTGTGAGGTCGTGGCTTTAGCAATTCCACAAGGGATCCCATTAGCCCCAGGAAAGCCAGCTGGAAAGCTGGGGGTCACCTCAGGATAAATTCTCCYGGATTGAGGAGACCCAAAATGTGATTGCAGGATGCTCCCAGTGCCAGCCTCGAGTTCCTGGCAGGTGATGCCACCCGTGTCTCCGACCTCGCTGGGAATTGGAGCTGGCAGGTGAAACCTGCACTTCTGCTCCAGCTTTTCTGCCCAGCCCTTTGCGTTTCAGCTCTAATTAGATTTGGTGTGCTCAGTGCTTTCCTCCAGGWCAGATCTGCTTAGCTTCCAGTGCTTAATTGCACCAGGAACACTCAAAAGCCTGGCCTGGRCAGGATTGTTCCATTTATCAACCCCTTGGACTCGCTGGGATAATGCAATTGTTTAGGAAATTCACCTAAGCTGGAGGCTCTGATCTGCTTCTCTAACGAGATTTGCCCAGGGAACAGAAATAAAGGGGGTTTAGAGTAAATCCTCTTGTGGGGAGAAGTCTCCAGGGGGATTCTGTGCTTCCAGCCTCCGGTTCCGCTTCGGCTCGGGGAAGGAGGGGATCATGGTGTTCGCCGTGGGGCCGGAGCCTCAGGTCTTCAAGGACAAAATGGGACAGCTGATAGTGGTAAGGGCTCACCTGAGCATGGGGAGGCTCCTGGTGCATCCTCCTTGGGCACCACACCAGCAGAGAGCTCAGCCCCCCTTCCTGGGGGTCCAGCAGGAACTGAGTCCTCCTTCAAAGCAGGATTTGACCACCCTGTTGGTGTCACCTGCATGGGGACAGTGCTGGGAGCTGCAGCTCCAGGGATTGGGCAGGAATTGTCCCAGGGATGGTTTTAGCCTGACCCAAACTCAACCTGCACCAGCAAAATGAGGCCTCAGGTGATGTTTTCCATCTCTTGTTGCCTCCCTCAACCAAATAAGGCCTGAAATGGGATGGGGATGGAGGGAAGGCACTTCTGGTCACCCAGGCAGGTCCTCTGAGGAGCTGACAGCTCCAAGGAAGAATTCCAGCTGGAGTTGTAGCATCCTGCAGAGATCTCTCTGTCTCTCTGCTGATTTGTCCACCAGCATCTTTTCCCAGGCACCTTGAGGATTCCTGATTGAAATTCCTGATTTAATGGCTCCTTTCTTTTCTCCTCCCAGGTATCAAGGAAAAGGTCTTGATGAGAACCAGTTCCTGTTCCCAGTTCCTGCCTTGGCTGGGAACAGAAAGGAGCCTGCAGGATGAGACCAGCCCTCACATCTCCCCTGGAATCTCTGATGCCACAGGGCTGCTGTGATTTGAGAGTTTGTTTGCATCTTTTAGGCTCTTTTTTTTATAGCTTAAAATGATTCAACTATTAGAGAAATAAAATCCCTGATGTTGCTGTAACATTCCCAGAAGGAGACATTCGTTACACGGTCACAGGGACATTTATCCCCCAAGTTCCAAGGTAAAATCTCCGTGTCTGAGATGTCAGGAAGGATTAGGACAGAAGCCAAAAGGCTTCCCTAGCTGAACATCAAATCTCTACTCAGGAGCACTGCAAAAAAAAGCACAGATTAATGTTAAAAATTGTCTAAAAACACCTTTTCTCAGGGCAGACTGGGCAGAGAGAATCCCAAAAGCTGGGGCCTCTCCCACAGGGAGGGCTGGGAGGTCACACTMACATTAATTAGGGTGGAGATCTGAKATTTCATCCCTCAGCCCTACAGCCCACGAGGACATTGAGCATCAAGCAATAAAATGACTCTCATGTAAATATGAAATATCTTCTAATTTATTGTGTTATATTAAAAAAAAAAACAAACAAAAGTACATATTGCAAACATCAACCATACACTGAAATCCAGCTGAAGCTTGTTCTGTGCAGAAGTCTGGACAGGTGGGAATGATTGTACAGAACAGGAATTTGCTGTTGTCCACAAAACAATTCCGCTAAGACTGAAAGGTTCTACCCACGCTTTGCTCTAAGGTAGGACGGGAGCTCAGAGCCTTGCCCAGGTGCTGGGGCTCAGGGAATCCAAAGCTGCCTTGTGGAGGTGCAGGAGCAGCTRCTTTGGTGCTACAGGGATACAGGTGGGCAAGGGGCACCAGGGCTGATCCCTGTCCTCTTATGGTGCTGTACCACCTGGGTCAGGAGCTGGGAGGGAACAAAATCCCTTCCCCAGGGGGACTTTCCTCAGCTCTCTGCTGTCACTGGTGCTGCTGRAGAATGGAAGCAGCCAGCTCTGCTCTCGCTGGCACTGGGAGGCAGGGAAGGATAATCCGAAGAGCTGCTTGTGCCCAGGACACCTGCCCTGAGCCCCAGCTGCACCTGAGAGCTCAGAGCAAAACCACTTAGAGTAACGAGGCTCAGGACTGAGAGCATTTGTGCAAGGACATGAGCAGGGTGTGCCCAGAGCAAGGACGGGGGCAGCAGGTAAAGGACAGTGCCCAGGACAATGCCCAGGCCAGCACAGCTTGGCTGCACCACTCCAGCACCCAGAGGGTGAGCTCAGGAGTGAGTTAAGGCAGAGTCTGCCCACAAATGCGGTAACAAAAACTGAAATTGAAACTTAAAACTCTCCTGGAGTGACTTCGCTAAACCAACAGCTCTACAAAGCGCTGTACAAAGATTAAAAACAGCCCTCCCCTGGTTTTTAAGAACTTAGTTTGCATAACCTGAAAGGGAAAAGCCTGAAGCCAGTTAAGGATCTATTTACAGAGAAGTTAATCACGTAGCTGTGACCTGTCAGGTGCTTAGTACTGCTGTCACCTCCTGGGGCTGAAGCTGCTCTGTCCCACAGGACTGGATTTGCTTTGGGGTCCCCAGGTAGGTCAGCACAGCCAGGGATGAGCTGCCCTGTGCCTCCTGGAATGAGCAGGGTTTGCTGCAGGACTGCTGAGACACAGCCTTGACCCTCCAAGGGCAGCAGGGCTGAGGAACAGCCCAGTAAATCACCAGCAAGGGTCAAAGTACACAATGCTGGAGAAACAGCAATGCAGGACTTCTCTGCCTYGCCCCAGCTTATCCCAGCCCTGAGGGGAGAGGAGAGAGGCTCCTTCCCCTCTGCRCTGCCCCAACCCCAAAGGGTGCTGCAAACAGGGTTGAGTACAACTCCAGCTGGAAGCCCTGAGGTGCTGGGACAGAGCTGAGGCTGCTGAACCYCAGGGTAACAGTGGAGCTCTCAGTGAACCATCAGCAGCTGCAGGAGAGAGGGGACAGGTACAACACCCTCACCTGCCACAGCCACCAGCTGCGTGCCAAGTGGAGAAGTCTTTGGTTACTAGAAAGATGGCCTAACTTTGAAATCTTGGAGCTTGACTTGATGATCCACAACCATACAACCATTTCATGGCATATTTCAGCCTCTGCCAAAGAGCTCTGTGGAACTGGGGTGTAACTGCTCTGTGCAACAGAAGAACGTGGCTGGTGCTGCTGCAGCACCTTCGGTTTTCACACTGTTCCCATGTCCTCAGCAGCCCTGAGCCAGGAGCAGGGATCCTTGGAGCAGGAACACAGGGCTGCTGCTCCAGAGGAGTCTGGCTGTCAAAACCAGCRCTAAATATTCCAGAGAAAGGATCAAAAGAAACTCTAGCCCAGGGCAGAGTGCTCCGGTGTCACTCACGGGTGCTGCTGCAGCACAAGTTTAACACTTCCTGCCTCRGGTTTCTCTCCCTCCCAGGACTGGTTACCTGAACTGTCACAGCTGTGGCTCTGCTTCCAGCCCTGTGGAATGACACCCATCCCCCCTCCTAGCATCACTGTCACTCGACCCCACAACAGGCAACAGGAGACAAGGAGGTAGATAAAATATTCATTGAGAGAAAAGCACTGGTAGAAAACCACGGTGCGGTGGCCTTCTCCATGCTCTGCCCTTCCACACACCTGCCACGGCGGAGGAGACTTGGAATACCCTCAGAAAAAAGTCCAACAGGGAATATCTGCCCCGGGTCACTGCCTGCTTCTTTTTGCCCTCCTTCAGAGCAAGGAAACCTCCCTGGATCAGCTCCAGAAGGGAACCAGGGTTGCTGTTCCCCACCAACATCCCCCAGCACGGGGGGATTGAAGCTGCTGTGACTCCTGTCACCTGGGAGCTGCTGGAAACCAACCATCCAGCTGAGATCCAGGSTCAGGCAGAAGCTCCAAGCCCTGACCAGCACCAACATCACTCCCAGGAAAAGCAACCGTGGACAATTTGCTCCTGATTCTACTCCCTTGGGAGGAATTTTAAYCGTGAACCTTTATAGGGATAAAGCAGGGATGGGTGTCCCCAGCTCAGTGCTGCAGAAGCTTCACTGAACCCCTGGAGGAGCAGATCCTGAGAGCTGTGGGCAGCCCAAAGCAGCAGCCCCTGCCCCCTCCCACTGCTCTGAGGGGTCCCTCTGCCCCCAGCACTCCAGGAATCTCATCACCCTGTGCCATTTGTCCTTTGGGGAGCCACCCAAGGCGCTCCCAAGCTCTCTCCCAGCAGCCAGGGAGCTGTGCAGCAGCTCTGGGTCCAGGTCCCTGCCTTTTCCCCCAGTGCAGGAGGGCCAGGGAGTGCCTGGAGGGAAGGAGGGTGGGCTGGCTGAGCTTTTGTTTGTTGTTTTGGTTTTAAAGTGCAGGATCATTACCAAAGCCACAGGAAGCCAGTCCTCCTCCTCTCCAGCACAAAACAGCAAAGACAAGAGTGCTAAAATTTCCGGGCATTTCTCCAGCTGCTCAACAGGCCCTTCCAGGCTGCCCAGTAACCTCATTTATCCTCGCCCTACAACTACCGCATTTAAATACCCCAAATAACCTAGAGTTTGTTACAAATCACAATTTACAAACTGTGCTGGACAGGAGTTGCACTGCCTGGTCCTGCTGCAGGGCAGCCCCCTTCCCAGAGCTGCAGGGGTGCCCAGGCTCACTGGTGCAGGTGGGCCCTGTCATCGGGGCGCTTGATGTGGATCCTCCGCACGCGCTCGATGCGCTCCCGCTCGTCGTCCTCCTCCAGGTGGTGGGAGCGCCCTGCAGCCCCTCCCGTGGCTTCCAGGAGGGCATTGTCCGGCCCCCTCCCATCCTGGGATTCATACAGCAGAATGTTCAGGGTCTCCTCGTAAATTCGGGCTTCTGGGAAYTCCACCTGGCAGGCAGGGAAGAGAAGGTCACTCACTGCAGGCAGCAGGTGACCTCAGGTTGGATTCCTGATGCCTGCTGTGACAATTTCTTAACTGCACCCCAGCCACAGAAATCCTTCCAGGCATGATCCTTTCTATTCCATTATTTAATTCCAGCTTTTGAGTCCAACAACCAGTTGGGTTTTTACCAGAACCAGGCAGGTCTCTCCTGGGAAAGGGAAGAACACAGCAAAGGTGTGCCATTGCTGGATCCCTCCTCACATGAGGGTGCAGAACCATGGACGGGTTTGGGTTAGGAGGGACCTTAAAAATCACTTAGTTCCAGCCCTAGATCATCTACTTGCAAATCCCAAACCCAAACGTGGTTAAATGCACAAGGTGGTCTAAAGATAATGAGCTGGACTGAACATTATGGAATACCACAGTGAATTATGGAATATCACAGTGCTTTATAGAATATCACAACTGCCCAGCATTATGAGCCCTAGGCAGGCAGTCCCTGCTCTACACCCAGGATGAGCTCCAGTGCTGCCCCACTCTCAATGCATTGATTATCCTTCAGAAGCACCAAACAATGACAAAGTGCCATCCTGCTCAGCTGCCAGGGTGCCAAGCTGGAGCATTCCCAGTTTTCCCATACCTTGGTCTGCTTTTTCTCAGTGGCATAAACGATGGAGGTGCAGCAGACCTCGGCGATCTTGCGGCCCTGCCCGTAGAAGGACCAGCAGCAGATCTCATCCCCAATGACATCCTTGATGAAGAGCACCCTCCCGTTGAACCTCAGGGACAGCTTGTCAAAGAGYTCRATGTTCTTCAGCATGTTGTCATCWGAGTTGCTGTGGGAATGGAGGCAGCAGCAGGAATGTACAGAGCACGTGGGAGCAGTGAGCCCTGACAGTCCTGAGCACACAAATTTCTGTGTCACAGAATCCCAGGATGGTTTGGATTGCAGGGACCTTAAAACCCATCCAGTGCCACCCCATGCCATGGGCAGGGACACCTTCCACTAGTGCAGGTTGCTCCAAGACCTGTGCAACCCGGCCTTGGACACTTCCAGGGATGGGGCAAACACAAAAAAATCATTATTTTACTGCTAAGGGCAGGAAAACATGAAGCAGCAGCACTACAACAGCAACAGCCCCATGAACAACTGTCTAAAGCCATTTAGATTTAGATTCAAAATCCTATGAGCCAAATCAAACCAAACTCCTGAGCTCAACATCAGCTGGAAGGACAGTGTCATGTCAGAAACTTATAAGGGAATAAGGGCAAGGGGACAAGGCCTCAGCTTGGTGATTTCACCACTCACTGAGCTCCCTGTGCTCAACTACCATGCTGCAATCCATAGGAATGCAGACAGCACTTGGCCAGGAGCCTCTGCCAGCTGCACCTAAGGATTAGAGGAACTCCTCTGGCACAGAAATAACACAGGCTCAACCTTCAATTGATGGCAGCAGACTCCCTTCTGACTCAAGTTTGAAATTAATTGGGAAAAAATGGAGTGCCTGCCAACACCAATCTGTCATTGCGTCTAGGGGAAAAAGAAAGGAAACTCCAATYATGGATTTCAGTCTACAAAAAATGTCCAACAATTTCAGCTGAAGTAATTTACCTGGTGTAGGAATATTTGTTGTTGCTTCTGTTGTAGAGCAGCTTCACTGCTGGCTGTAAGAAACAAAGTACAGATGAGCTCCAGGGAGCAGAGCTGGAACTTCAGATCAGCCCAAGGCCCCAGGGAGAAGCTGCAAGGACAAATTCCCAGTGGGATTTTGGTGGTGTCACTGCTGTTGTTGCACTCCTGGGATGCACAGGTTGGCAATGGGGCTGCAATCCCTCCTGACCCTTCTGGGATTGGATTCTCATCTATTCTTATCTTCCCTCTGCCAYGGGCAGGGACACTTTCCACTATCCCAGGTTACTCCCAGCCCTGTCCAGCCTGGCCTTGGACACTTCCACGGATGGGGCAGCTTCTCTGGGCACCCTGTGCCAGGGTCTTACCCCCTCACAGAATTTCTTCCTAATATCCCATCTAATCCTGCCCTTCTTCAGCTTAAAGGCATCRTCCCTTGTCCTGTCTTTCCATCCCCTGTCCAGCTCTCCAGCTCTCTCTGAGCCCTTGAGGCTCTGAAAGGGCCCCTGAGGTCTCCCCAGAGCCTTCTCCTCTCCARRYTGGACACTCCCAACTCTCCCCACAGAACATCCCAGCCTCTCTCACCTTGTTGGAGGTTGCAATCAGCTTCTGCTCCTCCTTGGAGGAGGTGATCACCGGGACTTTGCAGAAGGGCTCGTACGCATCCTTGTTCTGTGGGAGCAAGAACCAAACAGCAGCTGAGTGACACCAGATCCAGGGCTCACCCACATTTCCTGGGAATGATCTGCCTGAGGGKTCAGTGTCCAGTCTGTCCCAGTGGTGGTTTCTGGGCTGTGGCTGGCCAGGCACCATTCTTCTGGTAGCACCTGAGAAATCCATTCCTGCTCTCCACCACTGAATTTCTGTGCCCAGTTAAACAGCAGCATCTGGAATGGGGTTTCTCTCAGAGAGGACACCAGTGACAGTGGCRTCAGACTCAGGATGGGAACCTCAGAGCACAACAAAGAACACAAGGGACTCCCAGCAGCCCTGGGAAGAAGCTGGTTTTCCTGGATGTGACCAGATTCCAGCAGATGGCAACACGAGCTATTCCAATTTCCATCCCAGCCTCCAAAACCACCACGTGTGAAGATTCCTCTCTAGACCAGGAGAAAATCCCACTCTGCCCAGATGATGCTGCCCACCCCCAGCAGCCCCTGAGCCCCATGCCCACCTGCAGGGCTGCCTGGCACTCATCCACCAGCCCCTGCACCAGGTAGTACTTGGCCTCAGCCAGCAGCTCCTCGATCTCCCGGCGGCTCTCCGGGAGTGGCACAGCCCCGTCCCGCAGGTAGTTCAGGATTGTCCCAAAGTGCTTCCCACAGCGGTCGATCAGGATCCAGCCTGGGGACACAGGAAGGACACGGGAAAGGACAAGCTGAGGTGAATGTGACAAAAAGCTTTGACACAGCAAACTGGTGGAGGACATGATGGAAGTGGGAGTGTGAGGATGGAAGGAGCTCAGGACCGTGGTAGGAAGAAAAGCATGGAATGGTTTGGGTAGGAAGGGAACTAAAGATCATACAGACCCACCYCTGCCATGGGCAGGGACATCTTCCACTAGGTCAGGTGGCTCCAAGCCCTGTCCAACCTGRCCTTGGACATTTCCAGGGATGGGGCAGCCACAGCTTCTCTGGGCACCCTTTTCCAGGGCCTCCCCACCCTCACAGGGAAGAATTTCCTCCCAATATCCCAACTAACCCTGCCCTCTGCCAGTGTGCAGCCATTCCCCCTTGTCTTGCCCCTCCATGCCCTCATCCAAAGTCCCTCTCCAGCTCTCCTGGAGCCCCTCTAGGCACTGAAAAGTGTTCCAAGGTCTCCCTGGAGCCTTTTCTTCAACTTCTACAACCAAAGCTGYGAGTGCAGGATCCACATTTCACCTCTTGCTGCTGGAGTCAGGCTGGACCCTGGAAAAGCCAGGCAGTGCTAAGGCTGGAGTTTCCCTGAGTGAACAGATGGCCACTCTCACAGGCTGAGGCTCAGGAATGCAGCGAGGAAACGCTTGTGGGGAAGGAGTCATATTTTGGACAAATAAGGAAAGTAGGTTAAAGCAGCCCCTGTGTGTTCTGCRTGAATGGAATTACGAGGAAAGTCTGAACATTTGGTTCAATCTGGAAAGGGAACACGGCCTTTTGGTGCTTTCTGAGGGAAAAGGAGACACTCTGCAGCAGCTCAYTCCAGGCTTCCAGCTCCCTCATTCCTGCTGTCCACAGACAATACGATGTGTGCTCCAAGTGTGACTTTACAGACTGGAACAACAAACTGGAGACAGAAATCATGGAACAAAGGACTGATCCAGGCTGATGGATACAGGATAATTATCCAACTGGAGCAGAAAAAAAAGCCCATTTGGCAATGCAGAGTATGGAAAGCAAGAAATCCTATTTTAGTGRGAGATCTASYGGAAGGTGTCTCTGYCCATGGCAGGGGGTGGAACAAGGTGAGCTTTAAAGTSCCTTCCAACCCAAACCATTCAGGGATTCTGTGATAAAGAGGAAGGACARRCCATGGTAATAAACCAGGACATCCRTATCCACAAATGCAGCTGYTTCCAAGCTCATTGGGGCTCACAGGGAAGTAAAGAGCCAGCTGAGAGCACAATTACCATCCCYAAACTCCTCCGTTCTCCTCTGTGATTCCTCATAAACTGCAAAAATCTGCTGCAGCTTCATGTTTACAGATGGCGAAACTGAAGCAGAATTGCTCATTTCCATGTGGRGATGAGAAAACACTCCAGTAGTGTTGCAAAATCTGAGTGGCCACTAAAAGAGCTTCCAAAACCCTTCTGTTTCCCCCAAACAGCCCAAAGGAGATGAGTCACAGGGAAGTGACCCTGCTGCCACTCGGCCACAGCAGAGCCAACAAGTGGGCTGAAGCCTTTTAGAGTTATTTTTTAATTGCAGTGCTCCAAAAACATCCTGTGATCCATTTAGGAARGGAYACARAATCCATAAGCTGWGTTTAMCAAARAATCATGGAAWGGTTTGGGTTGGAAGGGAACTTAAAGTTTATGCAGTTCCAGAGGGGCAGAACCACCCCTCCTCTCACTGCCTTTATCCGTGGGTACATCAGACCTTTAGGAAATTAATCTTTGTCCTGCAACAATTCTCAGGGACAGGATCCAAACACTCCAGCCAAACCAGACAACATTTTCCAACCAAGCCCTGACAGGTGAAACAGGAGCCTGACACTGGACACTGCCTGAGGCTCCATTCTCTTATCAGCAGCTGGACCAGGAACAGCTTCCCCATCAACTGGTGACAGCAGCAGGGAGTCAGGGAAAAAAAAAAGAGAACCAGAAACAGGTGGATGCACCTGGAAACTCATATCCTCATTACCACCCAAAGGAAATGGTCCAAATATGCAGATTTGCTRCAGTCCATCTGTAATTTCTAAGCTGAAAATAATAATCTGCCACCCACAGCCAGAGAAGCTCAGACTTTTCTACTCCAGCCTGAGGAGCAGCAGGTTGGAGTTGCTCAGCTGGGAGGAGGAGCTGGGATCTGAATTTATCCAGACACAGAGCAGGACCCCGTGTGCCACATTCCAGACTGGTTAAACCCAACTCCTTCCAGTTGCTCCCCAAGCCTGGCTTCTTTCCCTAAGAAACATTCAGTTTGGTGCCAGATTTTGGGTGTGACCAATTAGGAGGATTTTGAAGAATTCCAGATAAAAAGTGTTTCCTTTAGCAGCCCCAGTGCTATTGTCCCAGTTTCCAGGCAAGGGGAGATAAAGCAAGAGCTGCTGCAAGGGGAGTGACTGTGTTACAACACACAGGAAGTATCAAATTCCGATTAAAACACAAACTGGTTCCATGGAACAATCCCACACAGACACTGTGGGAGTCAAAGCAAAACAAACTTGTGATTTTACATCCCAAACRTGGTATTTTAGCAGGAGAAACTCCAGTTATCCTCAGATTTGGGGGGCAAACAGCACCTGCACTGCCAGGGTCTCTGAGCCCTGGGAATGGGATGTACCAGCCCTGCTGAACCTGCCCAGGACATTGGGATCAGGGTGGGCTTCCAAAAGGAATTTGGAATTTCCCATCTATTTCCAACCAYGGGAAGTCTGGAATTATCAAATTTAGTGAAGCAGCTTTAGGAAAGGACAGGAGGATCCTGGTGGAGTTACCTCAGTTCAGCAAAGGGAGAGGKTTCACAACATTTCCACCCCTCCAACATTCCCAGTCAAGCTGTTGAATCCCATTTGACAGGTTTTTTCCAAATTTGACCCACACACTGACTTTTTTATGCAACCTGCATGGTCTGTATCCAGGRTAAGTATCCCAGAGCCCCTTTGATCCAGAGTCCCAAAGCACAGCCACCCACATTCCTGCTTTATCCTGGCCTGGGATAACACCTGGAACAACACAGCTTTGTTTTCCCCAGCTTTAATACAAAGACTTTTGGCAAAACCAGGAATATTCAGCTAATTAGGCCGTATTTTTACATTTTTTTTCCCTTCAAATCCATTTCCTCTTATCTCACAAGCCCTAAAAACCTCTAAACAGACTATTTTAAAGCACTCAAAACTCAGTCCAACCCACCTCACTCTTTACTATACTTTCTCTATTTTCAGCAAATTCAAACAAAATTCTCAAACAATAATTAACTAATCCCAAGAGAGGTGTTTGAACCTCCAGAGGCTATCTTTAAAGACAAAGGAACTTCAGGGGCTTCAGAGCTTGAGTGTCAGTATTTTGATAGGAAAAGATGCTCCAGATGCCACCTGGGCCTCACAGGAGCTTTGGCACTTCTTCGTGTCCCTCTGCTGTTCAGAYAACCACTCAGGTCATCCTTGTCTTTTGTTCCACATTTTTCTCAGCTGTATCATCATGGAATCATGGAATAACAGAATGGTTTGGGTTGGGAGGGACCCTGAAGATTATTTAGTCCAATCCTGGTCATGGACAGAGACACCTTCCACTATCCCAGGTTGTTCCAAGCCCTGTCCAACCTGGTGTTGGACACTTCCAGGGATGGGGCAGTCACAGTTTCTCTGGGCACCCTGTGCCAAGGCCTCACCACCCTCACAGGGAAGGATTTATTCCCAATATCTAATCCAAACCTATTTTGTGGCAGTGGGAAGCCATTCCCTCTTGTGCTCACACTCCAGGCCCTTGTAAATATTCTCTGTCATTCTTGTATCTCCTTCAGGCACTGGAAGGCCACAATCAGATCACCCCAAAGCCACTCTTCTCCAGGCTGACCAACCCCAACTCTCCCAACCTTTCCTCTTTGGGGTGGGGASATTCTCCATCCCTCCAACCCTCTCTCCAGGCCTACAAACAGAACTTCCTCAAACCTTTCCCCGACCCCTGTGACTTTCCCAGCCACGGAATGACACGGAGAGCACCGGGAACATCCCGTTCCTTACCTTCACTGTCCGTGAGCACCTCCATGCGCCCGCTGAACATGGCCTTGAGCATGGTGTCCTGCTTGGTGAGGGTCTGCATGGTGGTGTAGTACAGGGCCCCTCCCACGTTCAGCTTCACGTACTTGGAGCTGGGGCTGCTCCCCTTGAAGGACGTCGTGCGCGTCGC